GTGTTCCCTTTACATTTTGAGATGAGATAACTGGAGATCCAAGTCAACTTGAATCCTGTGTTTCAGAGGGAAAGCAAGGATTTGGTAGCTCCTAGGAGTCTCACTATTACACCGGGGGGGCTGCTGAGCATTGTGCCCTCACATCTAGCAATCAGTCAAAGTATTCTTTCCTTGAGGTGCCAGTTTGCCCACAGAAGGCCTGAGCGGTAGGCCACCAGAAAACAGTTTGCCAAATACACTAATTTCCTTTCAGCAATTTGTCCTGTTGGAACCCAGAGTTTCTGGAATCACTAAAATCTCACAATCTGGGAACTATTATACACATTTTTATTTTTGTTTCTCTTTACATTATGGGAATAAGAAAGCACATATTTTTGGAAGGTTTTACCTCAATAGCATTTGTTGCTTAGATCCATATATTGTAATAGCAAGGAAAACAAAGGAAAAGATCAAGAAGGAGAATAATCAATATTATTAGATATTAGGTATAGGCTTTACTGACTGTTTCCTCTGTAGTACCTACTGAGTTAAGCACTATGTGTGCATTATTTCAGTTTGCCCTTATAACAGCCTAAGGAGGTAATTTTGAGAGGTTTAGGTATCTACCAGCTCACAGTTCTTTAGTGGTAGAATGGGATTTGGACCTAGAACTCTCTGATTATAGAGTCCAGTTCATAACAGCTCTGCTGTGTTGGCTGCCATGCTTTGCCTCCCCTGTTCAGTCTGAGACAGAGACAGAAGCATGGGAGGAAAATGAATGGTTACAAATTCAACGATACTAAAAAGTAATTAGAATGTGTGTTCCATTACTTTGGCTGTAAATTGCTTTTTTCTAGAGTCCGAGTTGACAGCTTTGTACGATGGTTGACTTAGCAACACTGCTAAATCAAGCCAGGAGAATTTGCTTTTGATGAGTCAAAGTGTGACAGAAAGACTTTAAGCTGGTTTCTGGCTCAAAATTCACCTTGAGGTATGTAACCTTAATTCTTTGGTCAAGTGCCTTACTGTGTATTTCCCATCTGATGGCCCCAGGACTCTTATACAGAAAGGACTAGTTGATTTAACATCTGCACCCTGGCTGTAGGTTTGGTGCTTATGCCCTGCCCTAAAGTATCCGCGGCTGATTTTCTATCCTGAAGCCTGAGATCATGAAGACATGAGTTGGTACTGAACTCAAGCAATGAACTCTGACCCAATTTGGCTATAGGAAAAAAAAATCCACAATTTGGGAACTAAATGCTGATTGGCCATTATATCACAAGCACCCTGAGACTGGACCTCTGTATTCACTTAAGAGTGATTTTTTTGAAGATTCTTATTTTTTTTAAAGGGTGGGTGAAGGGGGAAATAGAGGGAAAGAGAGAATCTTAAGCAGGCTCCATACCCAGTGCAGAGCCTGACTTGGGGCTTGATCCCATGACTCTGAGATCATGACCTAAGCTGAAATCAAGAGTCGGATGCTAAACTGAGCCACCCAGGCAGCCCAAAAGTAATTTTATATGTGCTTTTAGGCAGTGTTTTTCATCTTCCATTAAATAATAACACAAGTATATTTTTAATAGAAGATGAAGGAAAAGAGAAATATAAACAATATTCCATTACCCAAAGACAAAAACTGCAATGGGTCTATTATCTTCTAATTCTTCTCTAGCTTTACAAGAGAGGGGTATGTGTGTGTATTTCACATAACAAAATATTAACCATTGTACTGTTAATATATGGTGAATAAATTAGAAATAACATTCAATTAAATTCTGAGAGTTATTTTTAAGAGGAATTTTTGATGAACAATAACAGTGTTATCCCCATGAGATATAGATTTCATAATAAAATTATTGACTTTGGATCCAAATGCCAACATAAGAACAATTTGGCACCAATTCCATATTATTAAAAGAATATTGATGTGGTCAGTTTAGTCAGGTACAGTTTGTTCCTTAGCCCTTCTCTGATGTGGTATTTTGCCTGTTGATGGTGAGAACAATACTAGATGCTGACGTTTACTGAGTGCTTAGTTTTGTTAGGAAAAAGTTCTAATTGCTCTTCCTTTATTAATTCATTTAACACTCAAAAGAATGGTACAATTCTCTATATGTTACAGAGGAAGAAATTAGAGTAGTTTTCTCTTGGTCAAACAGTTAATAAATACTGGAACCAGGATATAGATCCAGCCAGTCTGGGTCCAAAGCCTTTTGAGTTTTACTATTAGCTTCAAAGAAGGCAATCTTCCATTCCTATTATACCATGACTTCCTTGTTTGAACTTTTCTTTTTAATTCATGATTAATCAACTCAAGCATACTTCCAAGCAATCTTTTTCAATATGCATATGACTGGTATATATTTACAAGTCTAAATGTTAGATTCAATAAATTTTTGACTCTAAGTAACAGAAAATGTCACTCACACTGGCTCAAACCAGTACTCTGGAGCTCTAGCCTGCACTGGAAATCACCTGAGGGCTTCTTAAAACACGGATTGCTGAGCCCCACTTCAGGTTTCTGATTCCAGGGGTCTGACATGGGGCTCTAGAATTTGCATTTCTAGTAAGTTTCCAGGTGAGGCTGCTGCTTCTGGGCTGAACACACTTTGAAAAAATTCACTGACTGTAGAAGTCAATATTCAGGTCTTAGGTTGGCTTAACCCAATTTCTTCAACTCTATTTTTCTGCATCTTTCTTAGGTGTTATCTCTGTGTCTCTACCTAATCTTCCAACAGTAGCAAGATGACTGCAGCCATTTTACTCCTTTAATCTGTGTGTAAAAATATCCAAGAAAAAAGATCTCCACTGTTTCAGCATTTTTTGTAAGAACAAGGAAATTCCTTTTACAAAGCCTACAGAAAATTTCACTCGGTCTTGACCTAAATTAGATCACCTCTTTGTTTTTGAACAAATTCTACTGGGGAGTGAGCACTGTTTGCTGATTGGCTTAGGCCTGTGTTTCTGAACCAGTCACAATCAAGAAGCATGGCCTGCCTCTAAGATCACTCAAGAACTACCTTGGAACAGCAAGAATTGTAGTCTTTAGACGGAGGGAGAGAACTTTGCTACTTTACCTTCTTTTCTACTGTTTTGGTTCAAAGAACATTAAAAATAAGACAAAGAAAGTTTTCTTTCAAGAAAAATCAGAATCTCTCTTTGGAAAATTGTAGACTACAAAATTTTGCCTTCCCAGGTCAACTTTAAAGATAATATTTTAAATTTAAATACTAATAACTATATAACAATATTTACAATTGAAGAACTAGTGTATATATTTCTAAACAGTGCCTTTAACACAGGATACTGAATGAGATTTTTCCCTAAATAAAATAGGTAGCTACCTATATCCAAAGACTCATTGTAGTGAGCCTTTGTAGTGAGTATAAAGTGGGAGTCATTAATCTATAGGGAATATGAAATATGCCAAAAACTGTATTTCACATGCATTATCTAATTTTATTTGTTTGGCAGCCCTAATAATTAGGTAACATTATTATCCATGTTTTGCAGATAAGGATTACACAATATTTATACTACAGTGTTATATAATAATACATACTGTCTACTCTAATTTCAATGAATATAATGATGCATTTTTCTTGATAATTATATAATACATATTACTAATTTGTTTTAAAAATTACATCTCTGAAGTACATATCAAAAGCAATAACTAGTTAAGAGAGATATACTGATGTATGTAATTATTTTCATATGAAATTTGTTTAATTAAATGTAATTGTATATTTAAGTGTTTATTATGCATAAGACATGCATAAAAATACACATACTATATCTATGAAAGAGAGACAGACAGCGTGAGGGAGGGAGAGAGAAGAGATAATATCCATAAAGCTCTTAATATAATGCTTGGCTTGTGTTCATATTAAATACCCCCATAATAATGTTAGCCATCATTGGTATTTTAATTTAATTCAATATAACAGATATTTATTAGGAACTATAATCTGTGAAGCACTGTTCAAGAAAATGAATACGTATTCATAATTATAAGCATTAAAAACCATATATTAAACACTAGCCCCTTTAGCAGAGGCTGTTCTTAATATACTCATTACAGAGGCAATTTCTCAAGCAAATTAGTCGTGTAACTTGTTTCTTGATAACAGCACCGGGAGTTAAGACTGCCAAAATCAACAGTGTATTTCAAAGGCTTCCAGGTTCTCTGTAACAAAGGCTGAGTAAGCCATGACTCACAATCAGGAAACTTCTATTTGAGGCCTTATTATCTTTCTTCATATCTGGGGTGTGGGAAAGACTGGTAGCAGTGGGCAGCACGCAGGGGAGGAGTTCCGTTCTGTTTCCAGAGCCACAAAGCAAGTGAGAAGCACATAGTGAAAGTTCTGTTGTAGTTTTTTCTTATTCAAGGGAGCCCCCAGGATGTATATACAGTGGTCTGAAAACATATTCAGGACAATGGAGCTGTGCTAGAATTTATAATCTATTCAAGTCTGTGGTTAAGTCAGTCACACCTCATTACCCAGAAGTAAATTAGATTGTCTTGCATCTAGTCACTTTGGAGTGCTTGCTGCTTCTGTCTGTGTGTTTTATTTATTTATGGGGGTAAGGAGGGAGTGTGTTTTTAGGCTCAACTTTGAACCTGTACATAATGTAAACGAAAGAGAAGAGTTTTCCAGTTGCCCAGAAAGCATTTAAATCGTGGCTGTCATGTATTTGTTGTGTGGCCTAGGGCAACACCTTAGTATTTCTAGACAATAAATTTCCTGTCTTTTAAAAGACTACTGGTTTTATTATTGTAATAAATACATTTTTTACTTAGTGTAAAAAATAAGTTACATTTCAGATGAAAAAGAGAGTCATCACAGCGGGCATACAGTGGTCTCTCAAAAAAAAAAAGAAGAAGAAGAAGAAGAAGAAAGGGACACCTGGGTGGCTCAGACAGTTAAGTGTCTGCTTTCAGCTTAAGTCATGATCCCAGGGTTCTGGAATCGAGTCCTATATCAGGCTCCTTGCTTGGTGGGGAGCCTGGTTCTCCCTCTGCTTGTGCTCTCCCTCTCTGACAAATAAATAAATAAAATCTTTAAAAAAAAAAAGAGAAAAAAACGTATTTAGTTGGTGTTATGTTAACTGTCTATTATATTTAAAATAATCATATAATATAGTATATACCCCAAAGACACTTTTTCAGAGTGAAGAGGTCACTATTAATAATTAGCTTAGGATAGCCAGCCAAATGAAGATTATCCTGAGCAAATCTGGACATAAGCTCACTCTAATTATAATCATGTTGCTTTGTTGACAGGGTAAAGGGAGGAGTCAGAACTCCTTATCTCTTAATGTAACTTTGCAATCATTTACGTATTTTATTGTTGTTGGCATGAAGGGCCCAAGGTTACTCAGACATTTCACAGTTACTTATTTATCATTGGCTCACAAAAACAACATAGTTTGTGGTAAGTGGTATAGAAGAAAAAAGAAAGCGTATGACCCAGTTTTCTTCTTCCCCTATTTTACCCACTTTCCCCCTCAGCTGAAGAAAACCTAGATCTACTACTTGCCCAAGTAGTCACTGAAATACTTAGGACCTCCAAGAATAGCACCTACCCCCCCACCAAACACTGAAATATCTTTAGAATTGGTGGGTTAAGAGTAGAAAGGAGACCTTTCATAAATTTTGCTTTGGAATCCTATAATTTAAATTTGTCATGATCTGGAAAACATCACTTCCTTTCTGTCTCTATTTAATCCAAAATATACTTTGATGATATACTTGATGGCATTTAAGACACTGACTAAATTTGATGGCAAGGGAATGTGGTTATACATCCTGCTTTAAATTCCTATTTGATGGGGAAAAAATAATCTTTCTATTCACCTAAGATTTTTTTTAAACTGAGGATATAAAGGAGAAATGTGACAATTTTTTAAATACTTTTACATTTTATAAAATTTCAATTCTTAAACATAGAAGAGGACAGAGTATGTAAAGTACATGCATGAAAAATCTGGGGGCACCCTACTGGGTATAGCTCAGTGGGTTAAGCCTCTGCCTTTGGCTCAGGTCATGATCCCAAAGGTCCTGGGATTGAGCTCTGCACGGGGCTCTCTGCTCAGCGGGGAGCCTGCTTCCTGCCCCGCTCTGCCTGCCTCTCTGCCTACTTGTGATCTCTGTCAAATAAATAAAATCTTTAAAAAAAGAAAAAGAAAAAGAAAAATCTGACAATGCCTATTTTTTTTTTTAATTTTGAAGACTAATTCTGAACTATCTTAACTTAGTTATTAAACTTGATTTTTCTAATAAACCAAGGGCAGGTAATTTGAGATCTAATGGAAAAAATTGTCTAGGCTCTACCATCCACATACTAGGAAAGAGGTATAGAAGAACTTTACACCAGACCTTTAATGCCAGTAGGCTGAGTGCTGCTTCATGGACGCCTGGTAAAATTCCTGCTCACAAAAATGCACCTGGGAAGATCTTTTATTTTTTTTTTCATTCATTCATTCGTTAGAATTTATTGTGTTCCTACTAAGTACCATGTTCAAGGCCAGATTTGGAGATTCAAGCTTGGTCACTGTTCATTACTATAAAATGAAACCTGGTATTAATGATAAAAGGAAGCTCCAGGCACTGTCGAAAACTATAGCATTCTGGGGAACAGAGAATGTGATTTGTTATGCTGAATAGGGTAAGTATGATGAATCATTTTATAATGGAAATGATGTCCAATGCAGGAGGGACAATCTGTGAGAGCTGGGAAGAGAGAGCTTGGTGTAAGGATCTAATAATAGACTATTGTGTCTAAAATAAAGATACTCAGACAATATGCTGGAGAGGTGAGGGGAGGCCAAAATATGGAGAATTTGGATATTATATTAGGAATTCAAACTTTATCTAGTAGACAGTTGGGAAGCCATTGAGTGATTTTATGCAGAAGGCTAACATGGTCAGACATACATTTTATATAGGTAATTCAAGCTTCAAGAGACCGACTTGAGAATTATACAATGGTCAAGATAAAAATTAATAGCAATTTCTACAAAGATGTTTTCAGTGGAAATGGAGAAATCTAGGAAGGAGTATTAACAGGATTTGATGATTAACTGGACATGGGCAGTGAAGTAAAAGATGCCTAGGTTTTGGCTTAGAAACCTGACTGGATAGTGATGCCCTTAAATGTATGTATAGAGAATATTTAAGGAGAAGAAGTGGCTTTGCAGAGTGGTGATAGTGCATTCATTCCATTTTGGACAAGGTGAATTTGAAATATCCTTGATATATTCAAGCAGAGATGTCAAACACAAAGTTGATTGTGTAAGTTAGGAGCTCAGAGAGCATTTTAAACCAAATTTAGAGATTTGGGGTTCATTAGCATACAAATGGCCTTTGAAGCTCTGAGAGTAGATGAGACACCCTGGAGAAAGTGGGCAGAATGAAAGAAGAGGGGGCTCAAAAAGAGACTCCTTGCATTACAACAACTTGTAAAAGAGGAGGAGGGCGGCTCTTGTATTTCTCTGGCAAGAAAATGAGGCTTCAAAAGGCTCCAGGCAGCATATGACCCACAAGTGATGATAAGATAAAGTGTCTGATATTATGTTCTGGGTCAGATTGTCAGTCCATATCTAAATATAGTTTTAAAGCCAGATTCCAACTCAAGAAAACATCTTTTGAGCTCCTCTGGATGTGAAGAAGACTCACAGCCTGACTATCTCACTAATGTTATTACAGTTTCTTTGCTTTTCCTTCCCTTCTTTGGTAATGCTCTATCCAGGACATGCTTCCCTGGTAACACGCCAGGCATGAGCAGCTTGAAGACGGCCCTCGTTTTATCCTTAGATAATATTCCCACTCATATTATAGAAAAAGGAAGTTTTATGATAGGGGTAGTTGGAAAATAAAGTATCTGCTTACTCTAGCCATGAACTATAATTAGAAAGGCCTAAAATACCATAAGTAGTAATGTAACACTCATTTTTCCCAAGAATCTCATAAAACTTAATTAAGGAATGTAAGGTCCTGATAAAAAATTTCTAAAATGTACGCTTACAATGAAATAGATGCTCTTATTTTCCTCTCAGTGTTTCTAGTCTGCATCACATTCACACATGCTGTTCCTTTAGGGTAGAGGTAAATCTTAGAATCATAGCATATTAGATATACAAGGAACGCCAAGAGAGCCTTTCACTCAGCCCTCTCTGCCCTGGCCCTGTGCCCACTTATAGATGAGGAAGCTGAGCTGCAGGGACAATGGCACCTAGAACTTATATTTACATGTTGTTATGTATTTGAATAATAATGTTGGCATTCAAGAGAATACTAGTGATGACACTAGTGAAGATCCCAGGCTCTTGGAATCAGTTGTCTGGGTCTGACAATCATACAAGCCTTGGGAACATTACTTAGCTCTTAGATCTTTTGTTTCTACATCTGTGAAATCAGTTTTTATAGTATCTACTCACAGGTATTGGTAGACAATTCTCCATAGGTTTCTTGTGATTCTGCCTATCTTTTAAGCGGATATATTGAGTACCTTTGTTCTGGACTACTGTTTCAAAAATGTTTATACAGACGACAGCCTTGAAGGTTATAGTGTCCAGCTCAGGGCAAAGAGCAAGTCTGCTTATGATCCAGCAAAATAAAGATGTCTCCCTCGGCAGGTATACTTCCTTCCCACCAAAAAAGATTTGGGTTCCCTTATTTCAGGATTCTTCTCCTGCACTATGACCCTCTAATGTGTGTAGGCATTGCTTGGACCTCAGAGAACTGAAGCAAATGCTGATATTCTGGCTATTAATATTTATGTGGGCAATAAAGACCTTCATCTGTGACTCAGGAGTCTCGCGTCTTCTGCCAACATCCATGTAATTGTGGCAGGCTAACATATTAACGTCCAAGTAGAGTAAAATCTCAGGCCCTTCATAGTTCTTGACAACAGATTTCTGTAAGAACTGAGTAAAGCAAATAAACATAAAGAGCCTAGTAGTGTATCTGGCACATAAAGACTAAAGACTGAATAAAGTTTGGTTGTTAATATAATTATATAATTATATATGCCAAATGCACACAATTTATTCATGGGCAAAGCCAAGGCTACAATCCAGAACTGTAAAAATTCAGACTAGGGGCACCTGGGTGGCTCAGCTGGTTAAGTGTCTGATTCTTGATCTCAGCTCAGGTCTTGATCTCAGGGTTATGAGTTTAAGCCCCAAGTTGAGCTCCACACTGGGCATGGAGCCTATGTAAAAAACAAAAACAAAAACAAAAAAACTCAGTCTAATGTTCTTTTATCTCTTCATTCTACCAACCCCTTCTTCCCCAACGTTATATTTTATGCATATTTAACTTTTAATTAATGTTGATAATGTCATTTAAGAGGAAGAATTAAGAATTTTATACAACTTATTTGGTGAATATGTTAAAATTAGTATGAAAGAAACAATAGATCTGGTGATCAAAGACATCAGATCATTAGAATATTATGTTAAGAGAAAAGTGGCCAAAACCATGGTAAGCTCTGAGACATATAAAAAAAAAACTAATTTGCCCAGAAATACACTATAAGCAAAATATTATAAAGTTTGAAAATTCCCTAATGAAAATCAACATTTTAATATGTACATTTTTATCTATGAAAATCCACTACTGCGTTTTGTTAAGGCTCAAATTTCTTTCTTTCTTTCTGTCTTTCTTTCTTTCTTTCTTTCTTTCTTTTTTTTTTTGATGATCTTGAGAGGTCTGATTCTTTTTTTTAATTAATTATTTTTATTAACATATAATGTATTATTTGCCCCAGGGGTAGAGGTCTGTGAATTGTGACGCTTACACATTTCACAGCACTCACCATAGCACATACCCTCCCCAATGTCCATAACCCAAGGCTCAAATTCCTAAAATGTATATGTCAAAGACAGAACCTCTAAAAGTAATGGCTCCCTAGTACTAAGTACTGGATTTTGAAATTTTCCCTAAGACATTTTCTGTAAGTCATGGCTTAAGATTAGGTACCCATATTACCACTGGAATAAAAATAATATCAATCAAATACTTGCTTTACAGTT